TCGGATGAAAGGTTTGAGATCACAGCAATCGCGCACGACGGCCAACCGATTGAACCCATCCGGACAAAGGAACCATTTGCTTCTCAGTGCGGGGTTCTTGTTAGGGACAAGATCCCGATCAGCATCCACCAATGGTATAAGCCTAAGAACAAAGACCCTGAGGTGTCTTATGTCAATGATATGTAGAAAGATGATCTTTGGACTAAGCTGAAGGCAAATTTCACCCTACCGCCAGAGGAGGATCCGGAGAAGCCAGTTAAAGAGCAATTAATCAAGTCTCATGCTCTTAAGAAGATGGCAGACCTATTCAGGAGGTGGAAGAATGAGCTAAAAAGGCTTGTCGACAAAGAAGAGACACCAGAATTCATCGGCAAATATGAGAAGATCAGAGATCACTGGCCCGCATTTGTGGCCCACAAGACATCGGAAAAGAGTAAGAAGATGTCGGCGACAAACAAGCAAAATGCTGCGAAGAAGAAGCTTCACCATCGCACGGGGTCAGGTGGCTACCTCAAAGCCCGGCCTAAGTGGGCCAAGGCTGAGAATGATCTGCTTGATAAAGGGATTGAACCAGAGACAACGAACTGGCCAGACCGTTGCCGGACTTGGTTCTTCGGGGCTGGCGGAACCTTGGACCCTGTATCAGGGAAGTGCCTTTGGACGGACGAGCAAATGAAAATACCAGTCAAGAGGCTTCAGCACTATACCGATGCAGCGCAGGAAGGGACGTTCGTCCCAGACAGAGAGAACGATGAGCTCACAATGGCCCTCGGGAATCCTGAGCACCCTGGACGGACACGAGGCACGCCAGGCTCCATTCCGTGGAAGGCTAGGTTTTCAGACGCGGGCGGTTACAAATGCCAGGAGAGGAGGAAGAAAGTGCAGCAGACCGAACAGCAGGCGCTGCACGCAAGGGTACAAGCGATAGAGGAACGAGAAGCAAATCGCAGCAAACGAACTGTCGAAGCTTCCCCCGAAGCTACCCCGCCATCTCAGCGGAGAAGCAGCGTGGCTTCCACCGAGCTGCTTCAGCCGGAGCATGTCTTGACGGCTCCTGCTAGCTACCCCATGGATGCTGTCACAGAGTCTCAAAATTGCCACCTTATGACGCAATGACAGAACTTAAAAGTCAACGCGGCTGTCGGCTCTGTTCGACCTTCTGAACCTGGCGCAACTTTTCACTGTCCTCCGATTCCAGAAGGATATGCTAGGGTGACGGTGGACGAAATAACGGAGGGATTTGAGGACCTCCAGCTTGACCACCCTACCGGTGAAGGGGAGACTCGACTGGGTTCTGCTCTGAAGACTCTATGCCTATGGCGGAAGGAGTTCATCAACCTTCCGAACTGGACGCCTCCGCCTCCTCCTCCTCCTCCGGCGAGTCAGGGCACTCCGCCTCCTCCACCGCCTCCTCCTCCGGTGAGTGACGATCAGGGCACTCAGCCTTCTTCTCCGGCGCGTGGCGGCACTCCACCTCCTTCTCCGCCTGCGCCGGCGCGCCCGAGCAGCCAGCAGCCTCCTCCTTCTCTGCCTCGCCAGCAAGGGCGGGAGAGACCTGCCGCCGCCCCGGCTGCTCCGGCACGTCGTAGTCCTTCTCCTCCGCCTCGTAAGCAAGCACGAAAGAAGACAGCCGCAGCCGCTCCGTCTGCTCCGGCGTCTAGCAGTACAACCAGAGGCGGGAGGCAATACAGATACGGTCCACCTCTCAAGCCTCTAGAGAAGTTACCGTACGAGAGGACCGAGGAGGAAAACGCGACGATCGTGCGGACCGAAGTGAAGGACTTCTTTGAAGGGTTGAAAGCAAAGAGACATCCACCTCCGGAGGAGAAGGTAGATCTGGTGAAAGCAAAGCGCATTATCGATGCCTTGAGGAAACCACCAAAGTCTCCACCGAGAACCAACTATGAGTGCATTACTGAACAGGCATATCTCGAAGCGGAGCGGTCGGGAAGTACTGTCAGTGATCAAAGGTTAAAAGAATGAGCAGCTGGGAAAAAAATTGCCCAGCTCGGCGAACAAGCAAAGCAATCGTGCCCCCCCGCTCAATGTGTCTAGCGACATCGTCGCTAATGCTCCGGGGACGGTGCCCGGTTATAGCAATCTTAGAGATTACCTGCCTGACGATGTACATTTTAATTTCTTGGAGGTGGACTAACACAGATACGAGTACGGGAAGCCTCTCGTCAAAGATGAAAATCTCTAACAACGATGATGCGAAGATTCCATAATTGGTACATGAAAACCTGGAGAGAGTCTGGGGGGACGAATACTTTGTATCTGAGAATTAAAGAGGACCACGACCTTGTTGGAACTGGTTTGTTGCCTGTTCCATTTGAGGAGTTAAAAGGCCTTCGATAAATTAACGGACTTTTGCTACTGTCTGTAAGTACTATTTCTGTCATTAAGTCTCTATATATAGCTTAGCTCTTTCATTGCATGTATTTATAATAAATTATCCTCACTATATTATGCAGATTGAAGATCGTCAAGTGCAAAAAACAAGAAATGTATGATATTGGGTTCATTAACACAAATATCATAGATGAATTTCTGGTTACAAAGAACGCCGAAGAGGCCGAGGCCAACTTGCTACAATCGTTGATCAAAAATCAAAACAAAGATTTAATACTCTTTCCTTACAACTTCGAGTGAGTGTTACTGTCGTGTGCATATTCGGCTTCTCTTTACTCGAGCGAGGTTATAGTAATGTAATTGATGAGTTATGCATGCGTGCACAGCTTTCACTATGTTCTTCTGGAGATTAAGCTTGAGCGGGGACTAGTAACCGTCTTAGACTCGAGACAAAAAGATCCCCAAACCTATGCGGACATGAGTAAAATGCTCAACAAGTAACTTCAATCGATCATTATCGCACCATATTGGCAACTTTTTGTTCATTTCCTGATATCTCAAGTAATAATAATTAATTTTTTTTGTCTTGCAGGGTTTGGAAACAGTTCACCGCATAAGCTTCGGGACTGCCGAAGGAGCTACGATATACATACCCGAAAGTAAGTACTACTAGCTAGCTAGTTGCGCGCATCTCCCGTTGATTCTATAGCTATACTTTCATCAATGCCATTTATAATGCTTCATTATCAGTTTGATTGACCTCTATTTCTCGTAAAGTGCTTGTGGCAGGAACAAGGGAATGATTACTGTGGATACTATGTGTGCGAGTTCATCTACAACGCGACTTTGAAAAATAAGCGGGGCTACTCTAGAAGACAATATGAAGTGCGTAAGCAATAATATTCACAATTTCATTTTATTACACCATCATTTCTGTTGAGTTTCATTCATATATATGTATTAACCCCCTTCTTCAAATTAGACGTGGCAGATGCGGAATTAACTCTTACCACAAGATCGCATGAAAGCAATTCAAGAGGAATTGGCGGGATTCTTTCTTGACCACGTCATCAATAAAGCCGGAGAATACCATGTGGAAGTTAATTTCAAATGCTAGGGGACTGTAAGAGATCTTACATATTGTATATGTATGTAGCCAGTAGCGTCGGATAGATAATACGAAAACTTGTTGTTTGACCAATCTCTCGGAGAAGGAGAGGTCAATTGATCACTTCTCTCGGTATGCATGACGAACTTCTGTACTTAATGGTTTCCTTCATTTTCTTACTAGCTAGCGTATCGAGGGCCTCTCTATGTATAGTACGTAGCGTCGACCAAGCACGGACATAAGAGAGGACACTTCTCTCTATTAATTAGCTAGCTAACACAATATATGAAACACCTAAATTAACCCCCCCAACCCCCCCCCCCTTCAAAAAAAACAAAAAACCCCAGCCCCTGAAACGCTGATGCGTGGATGCCTTTTGGTCCCGGTTGGTGCCACCAACCGGGACCAAAGGCCCTCCTGCCTGGGCCCGGCGCACCGACCACATGGAGGCCCATCTGTCCCGGTTCGTGCTAGAACCGGGACTAAAGGTCTAGGGCATTAGTAACGACCCTTTAGTCCCGGTTCAAGAACCGGGACTAATGGGGGTTTTTCTACTAGTGGGCCCCTTGTCATCGGCGAGGAGAAGCGGACAATGGTCGGAGAGGGAAGAAGATAGGGCGTGGAGCACGTGGGTGCCGAAGGTGGTGTCCCACTCGGCGTTACAAAAGAACGAATCAAGCTTGCACAAGGTCGGGTTTTCCCTCTCGTTGCTCCAAGTGAACCTTCTATTTTGTAAATGGATTTCTTTTACCTCACAACTCTGGAGTGCCGCCCGGAAACGGTTAATTCGACTCCGATTAATGTTCCTATTGTTCTTGTCACGCGCACGATATATTTGGTTGAAATCGCCTGCCACGAGCCAAGAGATCCCGGCAGGCGGTTTTTGGCCAATGAGCTCCGCAAAAAAAGCATCCTTGCGAGAGGAGTCGGTGGGACCGTAGACGGTGGTGAGCTTGTATTGTACGTCGGAGTCACGGATTCGGACCATCGCGGATAAGCAAAAGGTGGCGATGTTGATGTCAACCAGATCCACCGTCTGGTCATCCCAAAGCAGGAGCATACCTCCCCTTGTGCCATCGGCCGGCCTTTGTGCAAAATTGCGTAGTCTGTTTCCCCCCAGGAAAGAGGGCACGAAAACATCGACGTTGTCGAGTTTCGTCTCTTGGAGGCACGCGATATGGCAGGAAGAGGAGGCGATGGCGGCGTTGACAGTGGCCCGTCTATCCGGGCAGTTTAGACCTCGGACATTCCAACACAACACATTGATAGATTGTTCTAACATGACAACTTGTGGTACACACAGAGGCATGGCCAACTGAGAGATGGACAGCTGCTACAGTAAACGCCACAGGTAACACAGACGCACAACAACAGAATTAAACTGGGTAGAACAGATTCTGAACCCATCTTAGCACATCTCCAGAAGCTAGAACTAAACCCACGTAGTGCAACACACAGGGTGTCGATCTTGCACAACACTTCAGCAGCATGAACTTGATCTAACATTGAAAACAAGTAGCCCCAGGGAGCAGCAACTGGCTCAAATTGCTGCCAGCAGCGCTGCAGCACCGCCGTCTGGCCCTTCCATGTCCATGACACCGGCACCTCCGTGCTGGATGAGGGCGTCTTCCACACCTGCAGCTTGCCCGTCGTCGAGCTTGAAAAGCTTACGCATGGAGTTGATCACTTCCTGAGGCAGCTGGTCCTTGAACCGTTCTGCAAAGGCATCTAGAGCCGCCGCGGTGACGTCCTCGCCGTTCTTGACTATGCCCAGGCTACGACACACCAGGAGCTCAGCCGCCTTTGATGCCGGCGCATCCTTTGGCTTCACACATGTCCTGTGCAGGGAGAGGCCTGCATTCCTGGAGATGGTAACTCCAGCCATCGTCTTGCGGCGTGCAACAGGTGGACGCGGAGGCGTGGAAGCAAGGGATGGCTATATCGGCGGCGACCTCTCATCGAAGAGAACAACGAGGCCAACACCGGCCGGCAGGATGTCCGCATCAGCCCTACGTCGCCGCACCGGGAAGGGGTGCGCCTCACAGGCCCACTGGAGACCAGAGGCGGGGTGGGCGATGACTCAAAGCCTGGTGGCCTGGCCGGAGACAGAGGCGGAAGAAGCGTCGAGGGCGAGCAAAGTTGGAGCAGAGCGGGATTTGGAGCCGCCTCGGAGATGGTCGAAGACCTTGGCCCGTCCCTCTTGGAGCTTGGTTGGCGCGGCAGCACCGACGTGGGAGACAGAGGGGGGGAGGCCGGCAGCGTTAGCGCCTCCAGGTAGTGCCTGCGTGCGGCCCGCGGCGAGCCCTGACGCACCGGGCTGCGCCCACGCACCTGAAGCAGCTCCAGGGCCCGTGCCCTTCGTCACTTGCGGACCCGAAGCCCAATAGGAGTGACTGGGCAGCCACAGCAGGAGCCAGATCAGGCGGAGGCGCGAGGTCCGCCTGCGAGGGGCCAGCACCCGTACGCCGCCCACCAGAGCAATCACGGTTGCGGTCCTGCCCGTCCTGCCGCTGGCGATCACGAGGTCCTCTGGAGAGGGAGCGACGGATGCGGTCACGCCATCCCTCCTGCGTGCGGGGTTCACCTCGCCCACACCTGCCGTCCCGGTCTTCTTCATCGTCACAACGCGGCGGCCTCCGCACCTCTCCTCCCTGGGCCACACGGCGCTCGCCACGCCCACCCGTGCCATCCACCATGCGGCGGAACTAGGTGAACTCATGGATCTCCGCCGCCGGCGGTAAGACTACACTGGTAAAATTTTCAGATGGATATTATGTTTGTCTTTTTGCGGGGGAGATGGATATTATGTTATGTAAACCCTACATAGGGAAATGTTGCTATAAAACCAACCTGACTAAATTATCTAAGAGGAAACTTAACTAGGATATACCACATGAACAACACACACTGTTAGAAAGAGTTACTCCCTCCGTTCCAAAATAGATGACCCAACTTTGTACTACAGTTAGTACAAAGTTGAGTCATCTATTTTAGAACGGAGGGAGTACATCCATAAGTGACAAGACAAAGTACCGTGGGCATCAAAGTGATCATAAGCATCCAAAATTTCAGCCATACTAGTTGGCGGGCTACCATCAAGATGCCGTTTGCTTTCTCGACTTAATTTTCTGGTGGTACATCAGGCTTCATTTTCTTCCCTGACACGTTGTCAAGGGATGCCCAGTCAGGATATGGGCATTCGTAGCACCAATCGGGGCCAGTATATCGCACACAATGCAGCCATAGTCCCTCCTCGTCGCCGTCATAACTGCCAAAATGAACAAAGGATTTATAAATAACGCCCGAAGAATTCAAAAGCAACCAGCCTCCTACATACAGATCTCGTAAATGTTTGTTTAGTTCGAGCCTGCCCTTTATGATCAAGTGAACTTGTAGCTGTAGGAACTCACCCGACAGGAGCAAGATTTGGACAATTCGTGCACATTGGATCAATACCAAATTCCGAATCGGCTTCAGCACTGTTGTCAGGGTCTGATGATGGCAATGAGCACGCTAGTGAGGTTGCCCTATGGATACTCGTTCCCTTTGATGAACGCGGACAAAAATCCCCGGAAACATAGAGCTCATCATTAGCTATTGGGTAACCAAGGTGTTTTAGATGCACCCGTATCTGCATTTTTCGAAGTTTTGGGCAACAGAAAAAATGTATCAGTAAGACACAACACTACAAACATAACAAAAATATAGATATAGGCAGCATGATTAAGATTCTTTTTTTCAGAAGTAATGTATCCAGTATGAAGCTTCTTAAACAAGAAAACAAGAGCTATGGATCATGAAAAGGATGCATTGATCCTTCAAATGGAAACTATGATTGCCAGGTTCATCATGTTGGCCTTGTCTAACAGGTGGTTAAGTATGATTCATACAGTACAATGATATAACAGGTTCAGGCAACCGTTAGGAGGACTCCGGTGTGGCGGCAAACGGCGCAACACCTTGGCTCCGGTCATCTTCCAAAGGCTAGGTTCGTGCACGATAGAATGAACCAACTTCTGGTAGTTCCGGGCGCCTTCATTGTACACACAAGCATTGCACAGCCTCCAAATCTTTCACAGTGGCCGGATGATTCAGAAGCTAGGCCTTTAATGTTTATTACCAGGATGTTTCGCCTGTGTGAACGTAAGCAGGCACACATGCAGTCATAGAAGGTAAAACAGGATTAGGTACCTGGTGAGTTCGGCCAGTGACAGGTTTGCATAAGACAATGCTATGGGTCCCATCAGTGCAAATCCTCTGAAACTTGGTACATGCTTGTTTTCCACTTGGGAGGGGTTTACCAGGACCATTAGATACCTGTGGTTGAAAAACCAAACTCAGCATATGTACTTTTGGACAAAAACAATTCACAATACTTTACAGACCTCAACAGTGCTCCTTCCTTCCCTTGCATTGAAGTTTACATTAGCATCAACAGTTTGCTGCAAAGAAATCCATTTAAATAAAAATGCATGACATAAAATAAAATAACATCTGAAGGTTTCTTCGGTTTTACAGAATTTGTCACCGCGACATTCCAGGCCCGGTGGTCATAGATTTTATTTTATACATAAATATTTGCTAAAGACTAGGAAGTTCCACTCAAAGTGAATGGATTTAGTTTGCATTTAGGAAGTATGAACTCTCTGCCGCCGGCATAACATTTCAGACTTAGTGTTTGGCTATGAAGCTAATGGCTCCACAAAGTGGAGTTTCCTTTTCTTGAAATGTTTATATAGTTTAACTGCAAAGCTACGCAATTCGGTCACAAGAGATCACAAGATATTCTAAAAGCTTTTGCATAGTAACAAGCGGAATCTGAAGAACTGAAATAACATAAACCTCGGAATGACACTGCAAGAAATCCTTTTAAAGTAAACAAACCATAAAAATCTATTCAACTTATTTTACAACAGAAACAGCTTCTGTTCATGGATCCAAAGATACACCATACAACTGTCACAGTAAACAAACAGCATTACCTCGCCTTCAGGAAATGCACCAACAACTTTGGCTACATATTCTTTCTGCAGCAAATTAGCTTCTATCTGTGGTAACAATAATTCAAATGAACAAATTGCATAATAAGATAAAATATCTCAAAGGGCAGAATGTAAGGTAAGTGCAGACACACATGATAAACAGGATGATATGCTGACTGTAGACTGCACAATGAACAGGTGTGGAGTGATGAAAATAAGGTCAGTGCTAGCACCTGTTGCCTGAAACATTCTGCTTGCTCAGCACTTTTAGCGAATATAAGGAGACCTGAAACTAACCGGTCTAACCGATGCACAGCTGAAACAATAACAGAGGTGGTCAAGGAATTTTAGGACATCCATAAATAGCAGTAGAAGTACACAGTTACAGCAAAAGGAAGAAACAAAAGAAGAAAGTCTATTTTGTCGTGCTCGCTTCACCCCCGCAAATAAAATTTTGCACGGATAACGCCCCTGATTTATAACTTTGCATTGACTTAAACCTCTACTCAGGGATTAATGCTGGCGTGGCTCAGGGATAGACGGATACGTGCTGATGTGGCTTCAGGTTGGCTCCGCTTCATGCTTCGCCTCCTTAACTGAGACATCGCGTGAAGCTTCAGGTCCAGCTAAGGTTGTGAATTAATCTTGTTGTGGATCCTTGAGCAGGTGTGTCGTGGTTTTGTTACATGACAATAAGTCTGATGCAGTGAGAAGCAACCTTGCACAACCAGTGAGATCGAGCTATCCCATCCCTGCTCTGAATTCCTAGACACATACGGCGATAAGGCAAGGCCCTCAATAAATTGAGAAACTAAAGCACTGCAGCAGAAGCAGCAGCAGAGCCAGAAATTGAAGCAATCCCAACGATGTTTCTTCCATGTTATTTGCAAAATGTGCCCCTGTGGGCGATTTCTAATCCAATCTTCTGTCCCTTTTCTCTTCCTAACTCGCTCCTATCCCAATCCACGCTAAAGAATCAGTCCTCTGTCAATTCGCAACAGAGGAGTCAGTGGGAGATCGAAATGTCACAGCACTGCTCATGACTCATGCGATTGAGGATCACAGAAGGGGAACGTGGAGTCTAAGACCTCACAGAGTTTGGTGGGGTCCATAGAGGCACTCGAACAGCTGGCAGGGCACAGTCGCAGAGCTTGCATGGTGGAGCTCTGAGGTGCGGGCATGGAGGGTCTCGTGCAGCGGGCAGGAACCGAGCTCACACGGTGTAGAACTCACAACTTCGAGACCATACCATGAGAGTGAGAGGCGCCATGGACTGTCTCTGTTTTCCAGTCACGCCCAAAGGAGTACATGACCAAGAGTACATGACCACGAGGAGGGGATAAGACAGTGATGAATGATCCTCTTTGCTGCATAAGTTCCCTATACATGGCGTTCGAGCATTAGAAACCGCTATTCGCGTGGAACCCCAGAGGAAGGGGGTGACATTCAGTGATCCCAAATTTAGTTGACAGGGTCAATGTGAGCACAATAAATAGTTTGAGGGAATAAAAAGGATTTCTCCTAAAGAGTAGTTTGAGGGAGTATAATGGAAGCCATTACCCAATGATGGCATAACTGAAGCAAAGGATACGAAACAGGGGTGTCAATCCATGCTCTGCCTCCATAATGCCTACTACAGTGTTTTTACGGTACTGTCCACAGGGATGAACCTACACAAGAAAAACACTTCCCTTATGTAACGTACCAATAAGTGACTGAAGCTAAATATAGCTGAACAGACAGAATTAGCATTCTAGTTCTCAAAAGCCGTGTTCATCTTGAACATACAGAAATCTCATCAACTGAATATGTTATGGCTAACTCTTTATCAAAACAAATCTCACACTTCACCATGAATTCATAAATTCAAACACGACAGACCTAAATTATTTTCATATTGTAG